TCTTTATAGCTTAACATGAAATACCTTTTTGCTTTTACATATTTTCCCTTTTATTCTATTATTTACATGAAAATATGTGGGTTTGAGGCATAGTAAATCATATGATCTAAACATAAATTTATTCCTTTTTTATATACTGTTGTATGTATTAGTTATTTTCTTTCCCTTTAATAAACAATCATAAATCAAAAATTTTTCCCCTGAAAAAATAAACTTCATTTTTCACATGATCAGAATATCATTCTAAAGAAGCTTTTGACACGTTTTTTTTTGTAAGTGACGGCAAAGCGAGTCATTGACAACGAGAGTCCAAATTGTGATTTTAATAAAATAAGTTCTTTATCGAGAAAAAATCACGTAAATTTTTTTTTTTTTTTGATTTCGCTTTTTCTGCCAAGTTTTGAATTAATTCAGAGTCATCGCTATCGTTAACGAAACCTCCCATTAACTGTCCGAATCAAAGATAAAACAATTTATTGAAATCTTTTGATTCAGTTGGTAAAAAAATGACATACCTTAACGTTTGCAAATCCCGAATGATTCATTTACTTTTTAAAGGAAATCCTGAATACAGAATGATAAATTACTTAAAGAAGATATATATATAAATTGCTTTCAATTACTTTAATAAATTTTACGGGAAAGGAAAAGGCAAATACATTGCGCTATCGTTTATAATGAAAAAACCTGTAGAAAATTACTACAATGAATGACTTGTTTGATTAAGCTATTACATTTTTTTTGGTCGCGCTTTTAACGAAATAAAATATAAATAAAAGAAAAGAACTGGACAGATTTATAAACGTAATTTTATGGTACATATATCTTATTTATTTTAAAAAAGTTTATTACATAAAAGATCGAGAAAACTTAAAGCAGATCGCAGGTATAAATACTGAATTAAGAACTATTCGAACTGCGTATTAGTTCAATTACTGAGAGAAATTAAATCAATTTTATTTTCTTATCATTTTTTGAGATACAATTTATTAAATATTAGAAAAAATTATAGCTATTAAAGATTAAATATGATTCTTTAAAATTTGAAATACTTCATAATTTCCAATGAAAAATTTTTCTGTATCTCTCTTAACTGCTGTGAACATAATCAGATTTTTTTATTATATCTGTCGCTATGTAAACGAAGATCTCTACAAAATGATTTTCATAATAACATCCGCTTTTTCAGTATTATTCGCATAACTTAAATTAAATCCTTATTCTTAAAATATGAAGCTACCCATTGTTCGACCATGTTCAAAACTGGATGATCTTCTCCATTACATTTCTCCTGTTTCTCTTACTTTAAGAGAGTAACTAAAGATTATGAAATCGATGTTTAAATTAACAATTGTTATATCAATGATTTATCAATCTTTCTATATCTAGGGAGTAAAATACCATTACTCAAGAGCAATAGTTGGAATTATTTGATTTCTTTATCCTTCACAGATTTTGCTCTACATACACTCGCAATCTCCCTTATAACTTTTAAACCAGCTGACAAGAAAGAACCTCCAGATAAACCATGAGGATCAATGAAGGCAAAAGCTTTATTTAATTCTGGATCGAGAACTTCAAGCAAAGCAACAGATGAATCATAAGGAAACTGTGATTTGCAAATTGATAAAATTAAGCGCAGTTTCAATTTAAATGTCTATTTATACCACTTTAAAAAAAAAAAAAACTATAAATTTTTTTTTATTCTTTTACTTCCTGATAAACAATGCCTTCATTATATTAACGATGACAACTGGATAACGGTCAAATCTTTGGTCATAGGAGCTTACGTTTTACGATATTATTATAATTATTTTACGCGTAAAAATCCTCTTCCTGGACCAATTCCGTTCCCTTTTGTCGGAAACTTGTTACTATTCGGTCTAGATATTTTCAAGGTGGCAAGGCATTTGGATTTAAAATATGGAAATATATCTGAAGCATACTTTTGGTTCGCATCGATCCATTTTTGTATCAAGATTAGATTGTATGGAAAAAATCCGTTCTCCTAGTACATCCATCAAGGATAATAGTTTTATGTATAGGATACCACCAAATGAAGGATTTTATGAATTAGGTTTGGAAAGGAATGGTGTGGTTAGGGATGGTAACGGTCGGTCCCGGTCGGTCAACGGTCGGTAAAAGGCCTTTGACCGACCGACCGGTTAAATGACCGATTTTAACTGACCGGTTGACAGACCGGTTAATAGTAATATAATTGAGCAGTTTTGGCTTAATTGAAAGTTTTAGTTTAGCAAATATTATAATTTTGATTCTTGCTTTAACAATACTAGCATGGCATTTTTTAAAACTACGTCATTTTTATATATGGCGCAGCATTATAACGGATTTAATTTTTTTTTTCAAAATTTCAAAATTTATATTTATAGATTAATTAAAATAAATGTTGATTTTGTTAATTTTAATACAAAATGTTTTTACTATTTAAAACATGGTTGTTTAGTCAAGTCACTCGGTCAACCGGTCGGTCAGAAGCCTTTGACCGACCGATATCGGTCACGGTTATGACCGGTTATGACCGGTCATGACTGTGACCATTATCATCCCTAGGTGTGGTGTTTAATAGAGATTTAAAAGATTAGAGTATTAATCGTAAAATGCTTCTCAAACCTTGATATCTACCGGATTTTAAGGGGCATCATTCAATTGGTTGAAAGAATCATGATGAGTTATTTCAATATTAGGATTTATTTTGTGTCTCCGCAAATGATAATCGTACCGTGATTGAATTAACAAAGTGGATAAATGTGTTTTCTAATGATTTAACCATTGAAACCATCCTGAGTAAAAAAAGTTATGCGAAAGCAAATTATTTTAATCGTATATCTGACAACAAAATAACTTGACATTCCTCAAAATCTTTTAAAGCAATCCGGTGAACTCATTGATAACCTTTCTGCTTCCTTAAAAGGTGGAATGTTTATCATGAATTACCATGGGATCTTTTGACCTTGATGATTACGGACGAATACATCACGTGATCAAATTAAATTAAGTTAGAGAACCTTTATCCGACATTTCAATCCGTAAGTTTATAATGGAATTAATCGTTGCGGAAACTTATAATATTATGTCCTCAATAATTTTTGTCTTGGCTTAGAATAAAGAAATTGAACAAGTTTATGATGACGTAAGTTCATCACCAATGATTACGCAGAAGTATTAGATTCTTGAAAAAGCCAAAACTTTCTACCAATTGAGTGGGTAGTTAGGTATTGCCCTGATAGATTCCTTGTTATGATACAACATGAAATTTTTCTTGTATGTTTATTTATAAAGTATGATATTGAGTCAATTATTCCAAATCAGCCTATTATAAAAGGTTTTATATGAGGTATCACTAATTGTGAGAAATTTGATGTTCATATTAGACCTAAAAAGATTTGAATTCTTGTTGCATTTGTTTTATTTAATTTTTTTTTCTTAAATAAAAAAAAATGAGAATTTTGTACTTTTCATTACTACTCACTATAAATAAAAAAAATTTTCATGAGATCTTACTATCAATTTCTTGAATAAATAAAAATAAGAAATTCTTTACTTTAGTGAATATTGGTCAGTCTAATAGTAAATTTTGAATATTGAAATTTTGCATTAAATAATAATTCAAACTAGAAAGCAGTTTTATTTTTTCTGATATATATTTTTATAATAATATCCTCTCTTTATTATATGAAAAATATATCTAAATCATAATTTTTTTAAATGATCATTTGAAAACAAATTTTTTTTTTTTTGAAAATGCCTTTTCAATCAAAAGAACAAAATACATTTATAAAGAAAAAGAATTTACTAATTAATGAAATAATTAAAGAATTTGAAAAAAAAATAAAGGAGTAATTATTCTAATATAACTTTTAGATGTGTTGTTAATTAAGTTCAATTAGAAGGTTATTATACAACTGGGAGTCAATAAATAATATTTGTTATTACAATTCATATTAAATGTATTATTAGTAGACCATATTGGTAGAATTTAGTTAAGTATACAAATCTTTTGTGTATATCACAACAAAAAATTTCTTCTTTAAAATTAGACATTATTGGCAAAGGTATACTTTTGATGATGTGAAATTTTAGTATGGCAAACATAGTAAAGTAGATCATTTCAAGGTTAAATGACAAGGTTTATCTAGAATTCTTGACAAAGCTTTGAAAAATGCCTTAAGTCATGTTGAATTGTGGAAGCCTTCAACTGGAAATCTTTCACATGAAAACATTATACCAGTTCAACGAATTGGTGTGTCGATTTATAAAATCAAGTTATTTTCCTCAAAATGCGTTAACCAATCAAGTAGCTGTAATACCATTAAACAGGAGATTTTCAGTTTAATATATACGGCATTTGAGGTATAATACCTTATAATTTTTTTGTTTTATTTTAAACAAAATATTCTATTAACATTATTTTCAAAATCAAAAGTTAATCATACGGGTTTCCAAGCAAGGTATTTATCTTTATTTTAAAAAATTTTTTTTGAACGAAACTTTTTATTAATATTCTCATTTTCGTGATACACACAAAAAATTAATTACCTTTTATACGTTATAATACTGCTATTTTATATTTGAAATGTAAATAGGATTTCAATGATATTTCTAATAGCATGTTATACAAGAATTTATAGTATATTTGTCATTAGTGTTTTACATTATTATTAATTGTAAAAATAAAATATCATTTTAATATGCCATAAATTAAATGATGTAAATAAGATTTTATTGTGGTTTAAAATAAGTGTATTGCTGTGAAAATTTGGGAAATTTGCTAATTTCAAAAGGTATGCACACCTCATGGAAATTGGACAAGTTTATAAGAAATTTCTATAACATAAATTTTAATCAGATTAATTCAAATTGCCAATAAATTAATAAGAAATGAGTCATGTGTACAAATTTTATCAATTGCAAATGTACCATACAGCTCTACACTTCGACTAGTATTACTTAAATGTTAATAGAGTACAAGTTATTAAATTTTAAAAATTTCGGTTATTTTATTAGAATTTTATTAGAAAAATGAACTCGCAAAGCCCGAAATTAAAATGATCGTCAAAAAATCTCTAATAGTAACGGTAACTTATAGTTTGTTAAACTATGTTGACAACGCATCCCAGTGCGACATGTCCGGCGCTTGATATATAATCTCCAAATAATATCCTTATACAAAAATGCTTAAATGAAACAGGGTCAGAACAACTGATGAAACTTCAAAAAGTAACTTAATGATTATAAAAAAATTTGTTTCGGTTCAAGTCCATTGGCCTTTCTGTCTGACATACTTTTAATCACTGTTTTCTATTTTTTATATCGAAGAGTTTCATCTAGAATATTTTATAAATAAAACAAATGTTTTGTACGAAAGCTAATAATTTTTCACCTGGCTTGAATTTTCTATCAAAGTTTTTATTTTGCAAAATGAACTTATAAATGACTAACAGTAAATTGGCATTCTTTATAGTCTATTAAAAAAAAAAAAACTGAAATAAATTATTTGAAAAAAAAATGAAGGTTTTCGTTCTCCAAAAGATATTGATTTGTATTTTGCTTGAGGTAAGAATGAATTTTTAATAAAAAAAAAAATAATAATAATAAAAAAAATAATATATATAGATAGATAAATGATACGAGTAATTTTAATTTCAGTCGCAAGTAAGCAAACATTGTTCACTATAATAAGCAAACACGAGTGGAAGAGTAAGACTATTATATTGATCATCAAAGATCAAATTTAAAATTTTTAATCCTATTGATTTTAATTTTGGAAACATTAGAAAATTTTTAAGTTTTGAATTTTGAAGCTGAAGTTAATATAAGAGACTTTTAAAGCACGTCATCCTTTTTCTCGTGCGTAATTAGATTAATTGGTCATATCGCTAAATTGTTAAAGGTTTCTATGCTTAAGAATATGGTTTATGAAATTCCTTCGAAATAGGCATCAAAGCATGTTTCCTTAATTCCTATGAAGAAAAATTATTAATTTAATATTCTAATAGTAATATATTGATATAAACCTGAAATAAAATGAATTTTCAGATTATAGTTTCGATTATTGGGGACAAAGAAGTTAAATCGAAATTAATTTAATAATTTAACCGACCGTCGAACTTAACTCTATTAAAATAGATTTTACGTTTGAATAAGATACTAGAAAAAGAATTTGTTATATATAATCCAATCCTTGTTTACATTCTGCAATATTTTTGCCAAGTAATTAAAAATGAGCTTTATGATTTATGTAATAAAAAAAACCCATATTTGGACCATTATGAGATGCTGTAATCGTACCAAAATGTAAATAAATGGTACATTATTAGAACACTGTTTATTCATAAGTATAAGGCAATGCTGCTGAGTGTAATATTTGAACTGTTTGAATGGAAGATTGCTATAATTAAAGTCTCGATAAGATTGCTAAGCAAAAAAGACCAAGGAGAGCCAGAAGTCACACGAAATGAGTAAGAGTATTTTGTTAAATTTCTGGAATGAGGAGCGAGATACAGTATTTGTAACTAAAGGATATTATAAAGCACAGGTATCACTGGTTCAGTGTTTCGAGCTGATCTGACACTGAACCCTCGTTGAGGTTCAGAGTTGTTCTGCCGTTCAAGGCTCTGGCGGATAAAATTTCAATAAGTTTTTATAACTAAATATGTAGTGGTTCTTGCCCAGATCGTGAAAATATGAGAGAATGATTGGACAAGAGCAAACCCACTCACATTTAATATAAAACATTGCGAAATATCGTTGCTGGAAGTGGTATCATTCCGATAAGGAATATCCAAAATGTTATATTTTCTCATTTGACTACATCAGTACCATAGTAAACTTAATCAAATTACAATAGAAGATCCTTCAAGATAATCCGAATATTATTATGCTATCCCCTAATTTCGTAGGGGAGATAAGTAATTTATAATTTAGTCACCGAGAATCCCTTAAAATC